GCCAGATCAAATACTCATATGACTAGATTAAGCAAGTAAAACCTATTTGGTTCTACTCTTTAGGACCCTCATTGCAAGTGAGCATATGGTGCCTTTCGGTTAAATGATAAAAAATAGCATGAAATAAATCTATGAAACACGCATTCTTTCAATATATTTTAGTATTTCAAACCCATAGCAACATTTCTTTCATGTTAACCACTGTATGAAACAGATATACAAGGTTTCAAATAGTTACAACTTATAACACAGGTAACAGTTAGGGCATGATGGCACTTCCTAAAGACTTGGATGATTGATCATATTCCTATTCCCAAGCTAGAAATTTGACTAGGACTAGTATCACTATTTGAATCTATCTGAGACATTACAATCAACTCTTTCTTTCTTAAACGTTGCAAGTCTTCGTACACTTTCCCAATGCAGAATTCCAGTGTGGATGTCCTCTATTTTTGAGTTCGTTATTCTTGGCTCTTGGAAACGCGGTTAATAGAGCAATCAAGACTTGCTTCATAAGGCATTCTCTGTGTCTGTAGTATTGTAAACATTAGACTAATGTGAGCATTTACATTGTCTTAATCACTATAACTCCACGAACAATCTCAGAGACAAAACCCTTCCAGTAATAATACAGGGTACTTAATTTTAATTTTCTAAAAGCATTTCCATCAATTAGTGACAATATGTTGTAATTTGGCTTAAATCATTTATGTAATTTACAACCTAACAATTTCAGATTATGTAATTAATAATTTAATGATCACCCTAATTTTGGATCTTGATAAAGTTGCATTGACGTACTTGCCTCGTGTTAGACTCTTTAGTTCTTCTTAACTCTAATAACCCCAAATTTGAATACAAATCAAATCAAGCCAAGAAACCTTAAATGAAGTACATGACTACAAAAAGTGCGATGTCATACAAGGTTGAGTGTTATCTATTTATTATCTTTACCATCCACTATTTCAATACAATTTGTAAATATGATATCACCAGAAAATATCAATCCTTTCAGGTAAAATCAAATATATAGAAATCAATAATCAGTTGTAAGGATCTAAGACTATTTAAAGCTTTCATACAAAGAAGAAAAGCAAACATAGAACTGGGATCTCAACTTAATTGTAATCCGAAAGTAATTTTCCTTGTCATCCAGCAATGACCAATAATGTAACTAACATGAAGCTAAGTCTCTTCTGCAATGACATCCTGTCACCTCCAAGTCAAACCCTACAACGAATCACAGGGCAAGAGCTTATCAAAGAATCTATCTTCGGATCTTCCATCCTGTAACTCCCTACAATAACTATTGAAATGCGTTGACCAGTATAAAATAAAATATATAGAAATCAATAATCAGTTGTAAGGATCTAAGACTATTTAAAGCTTTCATACAAAGAAGAAAAGCAAACATAGAACTGGGATCTCAACTTAATTGTATTCCGAAAGTAATTTCCCTTGTCATCCAGCAATGACCAATAATGTAACTAACATGAAGCTAAGTCTCTTCTGCAATGACATCCTGTCACCTCCAAGTCAAACCCTACAACGTATCACAAGGCAAGAGTTTATCAAAGAATCTATCTTCGGATCTTCCATCCTGTAACTCCCTACAATAACTACTGAAATGCGTTGACCATTGTACAAAGTATTTAACACAGTTAAGTTTTACAAAAGCAATCTGTGGAGTATCAACAAATGTTCAAAAAATCAATAAATTCCAAGACTGAATACATTTGTACATTTTCTTCCTATCCCAACTTCCACCAATAACCCAATTCATCTAAAGAAACACGAGTCTGAAGGGGTTCCACGGAATGCTGTCATGTTTGTGCAAACCTAGAACTTCAGTTTCAAAATAAAAGGAAAAACAAAAATACTTAGTGCTTGACAAATATGTACTCATTTTAAAGTTACTCCGAAACATGAGAATGGGATATTTTGCAAGGTCTCTTCAATAAAAGACCAAGGTTTCCTTCAATGAATTACAGACTATCCAAAATACATTGTACGAAAGAAGATGGGTTTGATTTCCCTTACATTGACATAGCCTGACATCTTGCATAGTTTATTACGTCAACAAGCACAGATCATCATCTCCCAAATACTAGTAGGGTTTTCTAGTACCAACAGGAAGGAGACATTTTCTAAACAAAGCCAAGCTAGAAATGATATTCAAGGAATTATCTTTTCGAAAGCTCTTCGTAGCCCATCAAACGTGTGCCAGGTCGACCTAAGAGCATGCCTTACAACTCAACATTCAGTGAACACGTCCCTATTCTCTAATTTCCAATTTAAAGTATGGTAGACTATGCTCACTTGCCAACTAGAGCGCTCCCCGAAGTTTCTTCAACTACTAAACCTTAAAGTGCATCAACTTGTTAAAGATCAGAACAGTGATAGTCTGTTCTCCACATATTGCAAAATATTGAAGAAGCTTATTAAATTCATTACATGTGACTGTTCGGTTGTTCAATATTGAACTCATCATTGTCTCATATCTGACAGATGAATCTGTGCAATCCAAATCATAGGAAACCTCAGACCTTGATCAGTGATTTGGACAAACCATCATGTTTGACTTGATGTTTCATAACTCACGAGTGAAACAGAATAATTCTACTCCATGCATTAATTCACCTTCCCAACAAAGATTATTATGATTCCAGCCAAAACAAAAGCTAAGAAACAAAGATTATAACTTTCACAACCATCATCTCAACTCAGTTTCATGTTCATCACCATCAATGATAAGTGTAATATCACCCATCAATTCGTTCTAAAGAATTGCAATGTTACCAAATTATCAACCCTGAGTTTAGCATCACCCTATTGATTAGGGCATATCTAAAGTGATATTTGATATATCTACTTCATGTTACACTCGACACTCCTAAACCACGAAGTCCAATTTGAATGCAATCATTTCATATCCTCTGAGTCTGGACTACTCCACAGAAACTAGGAGCTGTCAACCTTCTATAACTAGTGAAACAAGTTACTAGTGGCAAGATACATGGCCAGAGAGACAAATATATAAGAAGTCAATGTCACAAGAACAAAAAAATTCATCCTTCTTAAAGGCAAACAACTCTTAGAACACTTGATTCTCAGAATCTGTTCTAAAAGCGAAGTGCTTTTGTCACACTCCACATGTATCTTCCTCAAGCTTCACTCTAATCATCCATTAAATTCAGAAAAGAAGAAGAAAATGAAAAATCATGAACAACCCAATTCATCAATTCAAACAATTCGCTTAATCCATGATTCTACAAAAAAAATAAATAAATAAAAGTCGATGATCAAGCAAATCAAGGCAAAAAGGATAGAAGAAAGTTACTGTACAGGGCGCGCGGGGAGGTTAAGGGGAGCGAAGCAGCATAATGGGATCAATCAGAATGGGAGTCGTAGTAATAATCATTGTAAACAACGGTGGAGGAGGAGGCATCAGAGTCAGAGTAGGAGTAGGAATAGTAAGAGTCCGGAGGAGGGACGCAGAGGAAGGTCCAGAGGCAGAGAGCGAGACGACCCAACTGCTGCAGAGGGAAGCAGAACACAAGATCTAACAGCTGATGGCTGCTCAGACGCTCAGGTAAACATGCCAAATATTGCCACATCTCCGTTGATGCGTGCGCCACTGACACCACCATCAGGCTGTTGAACACCATTTTTTCTGTTCGTCTTTCTGTTTTTGCTTGTCTTCGTTTCTCTTGTGATTGGGGTGAGTTTGATTTTCTCTGGTACCTTTGATTTGATTGAAATTGAATGCGTCTTAAATTTGACCCCTTCTTCTAACTTCTACTGTACTGTTGGAGAGTCAATCACTGCATCTGAGCCATTTTACTTTAATCAGTCATGATATTTTCCTTATGGAAAACACTTGCCTTGCCTCCTTCCTCAAAGCAAGAAGAACTTCTATTTTTTTGTTAATTACAATTTTACATGTATGTAGAATTTTTATTTATTTTTGGGTGTGTTTGATGAATGATTTTTTCATATGTGTTAATCTGTGATTAATGCGGGAAGGAAGGAAGTAATGTCTTTGATATTTCTCTAATAAAAATCAAAATAATTAAAGGGTTTTGATTTTATGTCTTATGTATTGTATGTCAGAAGCTAGCACATTACATCAATCACTATAACCTCAATCAATACATGATAACTTGATAAATCAGTCTTGGACATTTTGCATTGTGTCTGTTGTGTATTTAAGAGACTAGCAACGCGGTTTATATATGTGAACTAATTAATAATGACATTTACATGTGGTGGGTGGGTGGGCGGGCAGGAAAAGGAGGAAAGAAGGTGAAGCTATCTATTCGTGCTCAGTATTCTACCATTTGTCGATGTGCAAGGAAATCTCTCCAAACCAAACGTACCACAGCTTGGAGTGAAAGACTCAATCTTACCTCTCATTCAGAAATTTCTATGGTAAAGTAAAAACAAAAAGCTAAGAATTTACAAAAAGGTTAATGCAAATGGCTTACAAAAGTGTAGCAATGGTGGTGGTGACTTTGATCTCTGCCACGCTGATGACAGCCTCTGCAGGAGGAGGAGCAGGTGCAGGTGCAGGAGCAGGAGAAGGAGGTGGCCAAAAGGCTAGATTTGTAACATGTATCCGTGACTGTATGCCTCTATGCATGCAAATAAAAGACGTAACAAAAGCAGCCTGTGACAAAGCTTGTGAGCTGGGATGCAAGCAGTTGCAAGGTAAAGGGCCTCCTTCGCGCGGAGTTCGTTTGTATACGGAAGGAAAACCCGTTAATATTTCTGATACATCAAACTAATGTTACTGTTCAGCAACCAGAATAATAATCAGAATAACTGTAATGGTGTTTTTGTAAAGGCAAAATATGCATTTTTGTTCAATCAAAACAGGGGAAAATTAAGGTATTGTAAACATTGTTCAGATAATAATGAGTATCTGTTGTATTTTGTATCAATTATACATTATAATTTTACCTACCCTGACCCTATGATGCTTCCTTATAACCAAAACTTTTTTGGGTGCAGAATGCTGCTTTCTTTAAACACTGGTAAATTTCTGAAACACCCGAGAAAAGAAAACTAAACTAAGTGGCGGAAATTGTCCTGAAAACTGAAATGGATGGTTTCTTCTCTTTCTCAGATGCCTGGCATCCTATATCTATCTCCTCATACTGTGAGTGCATAATGCAATACACTAAAATTGGAGAACATTTTTCCTCCCCGCTTTAACTCAAGGTGTATCATTATCATCTTTTTCAATACTTGACACGTGTGACGTGTCTATAGACATAACTATGGTTCCACAAATAAAAAGCAAATAGTTAATTATGGTTATGCTCATGGACACGTGTCAAATATTAAGAAGAGTGATGAGAATATATCTTAGATTTAAAAGGTTTTTTAGGTTTTAGACATAAAATTTTTTTCACTTTTGGAAAAAGCCAAAGCTTTTTCAAAAAAGACAAAAAAACCGCTCAATTTTCAAATCAAAGACATGCAAATGTATTGGATTCCTTAGGAAATCTAAAAATAAATAAGGGCATTTTTGTCCATTTTTGCTTCTTTTAAAATTTTTCTCTATCCTTTTGCTTTTTCTAAAATGTCCCTAGATTAAAATAGTGAGCAAAAATTGTTCCCCAAAATTGTTCCACATCTTCCATGAGTGATGACATGAAGGTGGGCAACCTGAAGCCCATTTCACGAAGCCCACTATGTGATGGTTTTTTGGTCCATGAGGTCCATTGGAGTTCGATGCTTGGTAAAAGAAATAAGAAGTAACCACCAAGCAGTGGCCAGTGGCTACGAAACCAAAAACAAGAGATGGATGCCTTGAAGCTATGGAGCCTATCTTCGCAACCACTCAAGCACCTCTTCCGGTGTGCCTCTTCCACCACCACCACCACCACCACCACTCTTAGACGACCCTATTCTTATTCTTATTCTTCTTCTTCATATTCTAGAGTGGTCCTCCGCTGTTGCTCTTCCACCACCACTACCACCACCACTACCAACGCCGGCGGCAGAAACCGGCGGGTATCGACGTCATCCTCCACATCCGATAGAGATGCTGTTCGAGCCATTCGCTTAAAGAAGGTAAGTAACATTTTATATAAAATGAAGCTCTGACTGAAAGTCTGGAACTTTATAATCCTCTGCTTGGTTACTGGCAGAGTGTTGGGAAATGAAGGAATTCAAATTCTGGGTTTCAAAGTTCCTTCATATGAAAACAGTTTCTTTATGGGTTTATAGGTAGAAGAACTGAGGAGCAAAGGTTTGGAGCCATATGCTTATGGGTGGGAAAGGACTCACACTGCTAATCAGCTGCAAGATATATACAAGCATTTAGCGGATGGTGAAGAGTCAAAGAGTGAAAAGGATGCTGTATCCGTGGCAGGAAGAATTGTGGCTCGCAGAGCGTTTGGAAAGCTTGCATTTTTGACATTAAGGGACGACTCAGGAACAATTCAGGTTGGTTGCTCGCTCAGTTAGACTTGTTGTACTTGTTACTCGATCTTAGTTCGTTGATTGTGTATACTTTCCATTGTCATTATGTTTATTTCCTGTCATGCTGGTCTCCTTAGAAAGAAATTTTTTATACCCTTCAAATAAAACTAAACAAAAATTATAGAGAGGCGCTGAGTGAAGTTATAATTATAAATATTTTGTTTCAGCTTTACTGTGAAAAGGAACGGCTTGCAAATGATCAATTTGACCAGTTAAAGGCACTTGTTGATATTGGTGATATAGTTGGTGTTAGTGGATCCATCAAGCGGACAGAGAAAGGTAAGTGTTGTAATGTTTCTTATTCATATTTAGTTGCTAAGCTTCTCTGATAGGAGAAGAGCTTCCAGAATAAAATGAACAAGAATTCTATTTCAGTAATTCCTGAATTATAGATCATTTGCTAAGTAAAAGTAAAATCATTTTGCACTTTGTGAATTTGCATTGGCTAATGATGTAAAACCATTCAACAAGTTTCATGGTTGTCCAAAAAGAGGTTAAATTAGCTTCAAGGTCTTGCAGAGAAAGCTAAGACTTTCTCTTGGTTAATTCCTCAGGGGAGCTTTCTGTTTATGTGGATTCTTTTGCAATTCTTACAAAATCTCTACTCCCACTACCAGACAAATATCATGGCCTAACAGATGTGGACAAACGATACCGTCAACGGTGAGTTGATCTTTTCATTTTGAGTATTGTGTTTTAGATGTCTATAACATTGAAGATTGAAATGCTTTCATGGTAAGGCTCGTGGTAGGTGAACATAGATGAAGGATTTTAGTTATTGGTTTTCTTGTTTCATATTAATTTATTTTAAACATGGATTTGACCTAGTGCTAAGAGAATCATTAGCCTCAATAGTATGGATGCACATATTTTTTGGTATGTGTTGTGTGAAGGTCTCCTACTTTGTTTTTTATTGCCCCTCTGTTTTTCTAATTTTCCTCTTATTTTTCTTCATTTTTAACAAAGCCTGGAAAATCTTATAATGATATTGTGTTCCTTAAATTTCTTCTCAATTACTGTTATTCTCCTTCTTCCTGCAATACTATATTTTATGTGTAGATAAAATATTGGTTTACCTCCAAATTGTCTAATTTCTTTAGTTGGTTTTATCTTATTTTCCTTTTAATATTTAGGTATGTAGATATGATTGCAAATCCTGAGGTAGCTGATGTATTCCGCAAAAGAGCAAAGGTAAATCACGCCTCTTCTCTTCTTAGCAGAAAACGATTAAAACCTTCTAGGTATTTGAGATTTTCATTTTTGTGTTTGCTACTTTTCAAATTTATACTGCCATGCTTGAAATTGATTTACTTGGTTATTTTGCTGAGTAGATTGTATCAGAGATACGAAGGGCAGTGGAATCGTTTGGTTTCATTGAAGTTGAAACTCCAGTTCTACAGGTTTGCCAATATCTTCACAGTTTCATATTTACATGGAGTTTTAGCTATTTGATTCGATATGCTGTTTGGTAATTTTTGCGATTGTGCTTTCTCAAAGCTTACACTGATTCAATTTAAAAGCCTAGCTGAAATTATTTGCTGGTGAGGTGGAACTGAACTAATTGAAAAATGAAATTATTTCCGGGTGTGTGTAGAGAAATAAAGAAATAGTGAAAATCCGGAAATTTTTTTGCTCATTAACATGTTTGCATCTGTTCTTATCAGTAGATGATGCTTATGCAAGAAATTGTTGTCTGGAAATTTTACAAGTTAAAAAAACATTATCTATTTCCTGAAATATTTAATTTCTGCATAATATGATTTTATTCAAGTGTCATACGTGAACTTCACAAGGATTGCATATACCTGGAAGTTGGGTTTTAATTGATTTGATAAACTAGGGAGCAGCTGGTGGAGCGGAAGCTAGGCCATTTGTTACATACCATAATTCACTTGGAAGGGACCTGTATTTGAGAATAGCGACTGAGCTCCACCTAAAGAGAATGCTGGTGAGGGTTTTTTTTATTCTTTTTCCTCTGCTCTTTTGGATAAGTGCTGGTGAGGTTTTACATATCATAATATACCTGGTCTATTGCGTCGAGTGCATACCTGCTGTTCATCATTAAACTGTGAAGGTGGCATGATATATAATATTGTATTGTAGTTACAAATCCTGTTCTATGAGTACCTTCTAACATATGTAAAGACTGTTGTAAAAGTTGTTAGCTTGTAACTACTCATACTTGCAGGAATATGAAATATTAATATTGTCATCTTCGTCATCATGATCATTACTATTATGTTGCACTATAAATATTGTGGTTGAGCTTGAGTGTAATAAAGATTTGAAAGTTATTTCTCACCTTTTAATCTGCTTACTCCTCTTCCTATATGAAGCTCATAAGACTGTGTATTAGTTATCTATTAATTTTTTTTTTCAAATGAAGAAAAATACATTACTAGATCTCCAAAACAATGTGTGCCATGGCTAATTTTGAATGTTGTTTGTTCTAAAATCATACAGGTGATACTGTTTCATACTATAACAACTGAATGATTGTACAGTATATTTACATATTGAATAGGATCTGTATATGGATGACAGGTTGGGGGGTTTGAAAAAGTGTATGAGATTGGTCGAATATTCAGGAACGAAGGCATTTCAACTCGTCATAATCCTGAATTTACCACTATAGAGGTAAGTTAATTTTACTTTTTGTTTTGTATGATAATGTGGTTAATCTTAATGTACGTTACCAAATTAGCATTACTAGTTGCGTGCTATTAGATATTTAACTTTCCTGTCTTTATCAAGTGAAGCTCTGATCATTATTGGTATTAGTCTGATCTTAGATGTACGAAGCATATTCAGACTATGAAAGCATGATTAACATGGCAGAGGAAATTGTTACACGATGTGCGCTTGCAGTTCATGGGAATCTTACCATTGATTACCAGGTCAATGCACCTTCACTGAACTAGTGACAGGATTTCTTACTGGTTGGCATTGCCATAAAAGCAAGTTGGCAACCACATGTCCTTAGTTATATATGAAATTGAGTTGCTTTTAATCTGTTATCATATTCTGTGCAGGGGGTGGAGATACATCTCGAGCGGCCTTGGAGGAGGGAATCCATGCACAATCTTGTAAAAGAATCCACTGGGATTGATTTTGATGAGTTGGGCAATGATCTTAAAGTTGCTAAAGAAGTTACTCTGGAAAATCTTGGAGGTGATCTTGATTACAAAGACAAATCTTCCCTTCAAGCATGCACATCTATTGGCCACCTTCTTAATGAGGTTGATCTGAATCTACAATCTCAATCCATAATTCCGATTTTGGTTTTCTATGTGCATAAATCTATTTGTTAGTTTGCTTGATTTTTCTTGTGATGGGAGGCTGTTCATATAAACAAAATAGATTACAATGATGAAAAGGAGAAATTCTTGAAGTGCGGATCTTAATTGTTATATTCTGATCCTAAGTTTTCATTTGTCTAGGTTTTTGAAATTGTTGTAGAACCAAAGCTTCTGCAACCCACATTTGTTTTAGACTATCCTATTGAGATATCTCCTCTGGCCAAGCCACACCGAAGGTATCATACCGTGTTGATTACACGACATATTACTTGCATTTTGGTATTTTTATGTGTCATTTTACTCCTTAGTTCTTCAAAATCAGAATTGCAGGGTTGACTGAGAGATTTGAGCTTTTTATCTGTGGTCGTGAGCTGGCCAATGCTTTCTCTGAATTGACCGATCCCACGGATCAGGTAATCATGAACACTGATCGGTGGCTATTTTCACTGCCAATTATTCTAAATTTTTCATGAGGGTTTGGATAGATGGGAACTGCTTGTGGTAATCATGCTAACACAAACCCCCTCATGAAAATATTCATGATTAATTCCTCCTCAACAAACTTCAGTATAGAAGTCTTTTCTATTTAAGATTTTAGAAATGGAATATAGGAAGCCATGTAGATTTTTATATCAATTTGTTCAGTTACGTACTAGTCACTAATACCCAAGTTGATGTTAAGGTGAAATTTTGTTCCCAGTTTGTGTTTTTCCTCTATTAGTTTCTTTTTTGGGGGCAATACGAAGAAAACATGACTGGCTGTTATTGTTGTTTTTCTGGGGTTGCCCAGGAAAACATCACTGTGTTGGCTTCTATTACATATCAGAGAAAAACTTTTCATTGGTTATGGGTTTTGGCAGAGAGGACGCTTGGAAGAGCAAGTGAGGCAGCACAATGAGAAGAGAGCAGCAGCAATTTCAAATTCAGAGAGTGCAGAAGATAAAGGAAAGGAAAATGATGAGTCTTATGAAGTGACTCTTGATGATGATTTCCTTACAGCTTTGGAATATGGGATGCCTCCAGCTTCCGGAATGGTATGGTCATCCGTTTGCATCTATTTTTTTATTCAATTTATATATCTCATACATTCATCTAGGCAAAATACTAATGGAAAGAACTTATTCAGGGACTTGGAATTGACAGGCTTGTCATGCTTTTAACAAACTCGGCCAGTATCAGAGATGTAATTGCTTTTCCGGTGCTTAAAGTTCAGCAATAAGGAGACCGGCAAGAGGCTTTAGGAGCAGTTATTATAGAGGCCAAGCTGGAACCCGCCTTATTTATTTACTTATCATTTTTACTTATCATTTTTACTGATGTCCAATTTAGTGGGCAACGAGACCTCCGCTAACCGCTTGGACCAGCTGCCTGGCATAATTTTGTGGCTTCCCCATTTTTCATTTCCTGGTTGCCCTTTCGTATACTCTTTTGGCCATGTCCTGTGTTAACTCATCAACCAAGGCCCCTTGAGCCATTTGGTGGGCTTCGTCAACATGATGTTAGCTCTTGAAAAAATGACTGATAACAGAACATTGTTGTTACAATGATATAAGGAGAGTTGAGATCATCAACGCGATGCATTTCTATTTCTGATGCTCTGAATTACCATCAAGAGCATGAAAGTTTGTCTACCAATGTGATGTATTTCCTTTGGTGCTTGCTGTATTTCTTTGTGCCTAGAACGTATCTGAAGGCTTGAAGCCTTGGAAACATATTTTATAGGTCAGGTGGTTATCTCAAGATTTTCAAAAACATATGGGGTTTGCTGAAGCTGTGAGAGAGACTGTTATTTACTTGTATACCTTTCCAAAAGGTGTATTAAAATTGGGTTTCTGCACCAAAAATCAATTACCATACAGTTTTTTCAGTTTTGGTGGTTGATGCATCTTGAAGCTCCATCGTTACAGTGCCGCCAGGACAAAGAAATGATGAGGGTGAGAACTTGTAACAGGCAGGTAAGCGTAGCATCTCTTTTATTATTAATCTGGTAGCTAGCTTTGATGATGCAATGCAAGACAGATTTGCTTTCAAGGGGATGGGCCTGCCTTTGCCCCTAGAATGATATACATGAGGGCATGCGCTTGTCTGGTAAGTTGTTGTAACACACGAAATGAAAAAGCTAGAGAGTAGAGTAGAGTAGAGTAGAGTGCAGTAGGCTTCTGCCCCTTTCATAATCTTTACCTGGGCTGGGTGGTGTTGGGTTGTGAACTTCTGAGACAAATCATCACATCACCTGCTTCTTTTGGCTTCTCAAATTATATGCTTTTACAGATGTTGCATGCCTATTGGCCTACTACTGGGTCCCAAGTCCCAACCCATGCCGCGTTAACATGAGGAGGCCCACGTAGCTACCATATCAATTTCTACAATGCCTTTCAATTATTAACCTTTCTCACCAACATGCAACAACATCCCCTTTAACGTGTATATATATTTAGGCTGTAAATCACTGATCAAAATTGTTTAGTTTTTAGGTTCTCTTTCAAGGATTATTTATGCAAAAAATCAGCTCTCAAATCGTGCATGATGAGAATTAATCGTGCCTTTGGGTAGGATGCATATAGTAAGTATATTACCTTATCAAAGGCGATGAATAAAATACTGTTTGTGTATAGAGATGGCATAAGAGGATACATGGGTTGGGTTTACGTGGGGAGTTGGGTTACAACTTACAAGTCCAACAGAAGAAGTAAAGCATAACCATTAATTGAGTTAGCAGAAAGACGCAGAGACAGAGGGAAGGGAAGGGAACTAATTATAATTAAGGCATATAATATAATATAATACGAATAGCATAACATATCTTAGCTTCCAAAAGGAGGATCACATTAACCAATTGTTAAATCGAGAAAAAGGTGCGTCTTTCTTTCTGGGCTCTTTCTAAAAGCGAGTAAAGAAAAGCAACAGTTCCAAGTCCTATACCAACTGTCGGTACATATATGCATTTCTTTCGACCAAAACTGGAAAAAGGCGCCCAAATTCATAAAGGCAGAGTTGGCATTGAAAAGGTCAATATCCTTATCCCCCACCCCGACCCCCAAGCAATCCATGGTTGGCTGGCTTGCGCTGAATGATATCCCTTAGGAAATTCCTTCAGAACTTCAAGCAGGGACCCCCCTCCCATCCTAGAACAAGAATAAACATACACATAATTTGCATGTCAGGCAACTTGGAATTAAAACCAAAAGAAGGTTTGTAGCTTTTTCGATGGCTATAAATAATAATCGCTTATAATAAATACAATTTGGTATGCCAGTTGATTTGAGCATATATAAACTAATACAACACAAAAAGACTGTTGGTCGGTAGTTGTACGGGGTGTACAAGAAGTTGAACTGTAGATTTAGAAAACATCACTTGCACTGCATAATTGTATTTC